ATATATATATATATAATCATAGGCATTGTCGAGTAACAAGAAAACTTCAATCTTCTTAGATTTCATGCTGTAAGCTTAAAATTATTAACATTTTTTCTTATTTTTTGGTATTTATTTTATATTTATAATTATATTTCAATGTTTTACCTTAAATATTAAATCAATCCTCAAAATCGTATACATTTCGGTAGAAGTGGGGGGACACGAGTACCGGGGCTAGTTCTTTTAAAAAAACAAGTAGAGGTACAAACTTAAAGTATAGCAACTAGAGCAATCAAATTGGACATTAGAGGCATTGTGGGAGAATAAATGTTATATCAGTGAGTTAAAAGAAGACCTTAAATTCAAAGTGCTAATCATTTTTTTTTTATTTTGGTGAACAGACTAATGTACTCAAGTTAAAAGTCTGCCATCCCACTCTTGGAAAAGGGCCCACATACAAATTTTAATCTTTGAGACTCATTTGAAGGGTGATCTTTGTTACTCCTTGTTGGTATTCAAAGTGACCCTTACAGTTCCTGGTACGGATAGTTACTCTTGTGACCCCTTTGGCATCCATTTACAAACCCAGTAGGGAAAACAAAACAAAAAATTAAAAGGAGTCTCTAATGGACATCCTATACAAACATTTGCTTAAATTATTTGTAAATGCTCTACAACTCCTAGCAGGTTGTCAGTGGGCCAGAAGAAGTTAATCACAGGGACCAGGTGCCTCAAATGGCATTTTTTTTTCCCGAGTTGTGATGAATCTCTATAATGTCAAGATTATTAAGTAGAATAATTGTAGTTTAGCATAAATTTTAATTTCCCCTTGTTTATCATCTGCCTATGCCTTTCTTAATTTTGTTCGTTTCTTCCACTTTTTTTGGTGATTAGCTAAATACCTTTTGTCATTCTTACTCCAAACCCCCGCACTATATTAAAGAATGTCCCAATCATGACCAATCATTTGGTTACCTTTTTGATGAGCATTACTTGGGCAAATAAAAAAAGTGGTCGGACACTCAAGGATCAAAAAATTAGCAAAAATATTGCTCTCCTAAACACATTACTAATTTTTAAATAATTATTAGAAGCATCTTTTGTACTGCATATATATACATATATATGATATATGTATGTAACTTATTCTTTAGCTGACCCTTTGTATCAGGCATGCGAACTGAGCTGGCATCAAAATTATGTTGGTGGTGTGGGGTTTCCTTGAATACGCGTCTGCAACGAATCTAATGGTTAGTTTGAACAATACAAAGTTGTTTGTTTTTGTTCTAACGTGCCGACAAGTTCTTGGGTTAAGAAAAGTAGTAGTTTTGTGTTCTTAGCCGTTTCTATTCCCTTCCATATCTGCTTACTCTATCTATATTCCCATGAGATAAGAACGCATCATAAAAAAATTGAGTTGGTGGCTCTCATGTTCTACTCAATTAACTTCTCTAGGATTCTAACCATGATTCCCTACTTCCTCATTCTCCACTTCATTTGGGAAGATCAAATCAAATATTAATTTAACTTCTAACCTTATAATCACTTATATAATTAATGTCCAACTGCTTGATCAGGGTGTTTAATTTTATCCCGTGTGGTCCAAAGGCTATGTATCGGATGCAATGCATGTTAAGCAGGTTCAACTTTTCTATGCCTAGAAATAAGGAAGAGTTTAGCTTTACATTTTATAAGGGAAGTTGTGGCAATAGTGATTGGTGTGTTAGGGTTTGACACCAATGCTCAAGGGTAGAGTGGAATGTCAAATCATCATCTAAGTAGATAAGAGTATAGTAAATGTGGTGTTGATGCTGAGAAAAGAGTGAGTCCAATGCCACAAAAACGAGAGTTAGTGAGATCTTTATGAGTTTTGAGGCTCTATCTTATCTTCATGGTACCATGTTCTTTATGACAAGTCATAACATGAGAACAAAGCACATGGCACCACACGGACACTTCGAATTTAGGGACCGCCACCAAATTTGGTATTGTCTTCTGATTTGCTGTTTTATTGCGAGGTCCGTGATAATCGTTTAAAAATGAAAACAATATTAGTTAAAATATTCAAAAAAATTCATTACTTGATTGATCTTCAACGAACAATGCAAAAGTAGCCTAACATGCAAGGCGTATTCACTGGGAATTAATTAAAAGAATTGTTTTTTCTTTCATACGCAATTAAAGGAGCTGGTTTGAATGGTTGTTTGAATTCGCAAGTGCTGATTACCAATTATTTGTGTAATTGTTTTATTTTTCTATTACTGGTGGTGCACCAAATAATAATAGCCCCCTTGATACACTCTCAATTCAATGAATACCAATAATAATCTTCAAACACCACTAACTACCGAACTTTGAAAATTCCTGTTAAGCACTTGGAATTTTTAATGATTTCAAACTCTTCAAATTATATATATATATATATATATATATAATGGTTGTATTAAAATGTTCACATTAAAATATTTGAACCATCGAAGTCAATCTAATAGTAGGAGATTATAATAATACACAGTTTTAATTTGAAACTTAGTTGTTGATATTGTACAAAAACAATATTAAAATATTTTCATTATTATCAAGAGTCAACTTTTGTGTGATTTTACAAAAACAACAATGTTGCAATAAACATTTCTCTATTAATAAATACATACATAACTTGCTTACTTTCAAAATAGTTATTTTCATGTATAAAAAATACATATTTAGTTTCTTCTATGCGATAGAAGTAATATATATATATACCTTTCTCAAAAATGTATTTTGATATAGGATTAATCTATCACTATTGAGCGCATAAATCAATTAACACAAATATTCCAACTTAATTAACAATCATAAATTTGAGTATTGTCATACTCTTGTAAAAAAATTAATAAAAAAAAAGACTAATCAATCACAGAATGGGAGATATGTTAGTATGATGATCTTAAATCGAGTGAACAATTTTTGTATAGGTGGACACGGGTCTAAACTATTCTAATTATCAAATGAAACCGAATCAAACTATAAGAAAATAGAATTGGATTGGTACCATTCAATCGGATTTGGGAATTGAAAATTCAAGCAGTTTGGTTTGAATTTCAAATTTTAATTTCCAATAATCTAACTAAATCAATTCATTCAATTAAATAATAATAATAATAATAATATTAATATTATTATTATTATTATTATTATTATTATTATTTAATTTAGATTGTAAAATTTAGTTGTAAGTGTAAAATAAACACATTTAATATATGAGAGTCCCTCATGACTTGTTTGTCATGTTGGCTTAAGAAAAATTTTGTTTTGAGTTTGTAATTTTTTTTTCTCACAAAAGTTTGTAATGTTGTTAAACAAAGCAGATTTGCTGATTTTATTTTGAATTTGTAATGTTATTCACACTTAACAGATTTTAGGTAATTAATAATGTTTAGTTGTTCACGAAAAAATTAATAATAAATGTTTTATCATTGATGATATGACATAATTATATTTTATAAATTGTCTAATATAATTTATTATTTTAATAATAAATCCAATAAATTAATCTAAACAAAACTAAATGTGATCGGATTAGATGGGTTGAAATTAAAGACCACAAAATGAAAAGCTAAATAAATCAATCAAAGTTTATTAGATAAAATTAAAATATGCGATAAATTCAATTGAATATGAGTACTCTACCTCTATTTTTTTAATGAGTTTTATATTTAAAAAGAAAAAAATAACACCCTTCTTTACATCTTTGACTCTCAACTTGAAGGGGAAACAAGACAAGCAATAGAAACAAACTGAACTATCTTACTTAGCCTCCTTATTGTCTTCTCTTCTACATTATGCAGAAAGGTATATAAATATAAGCCAGGCAAACACAACCAGAAGCAAGAAGACAAACTCTACGAGGAAAGCAAAAATTACTATATACAATGTTTTTCGGGTAAAGAAAATACGTCTCTCACTAGACAAAGAACACATAGAACAAGAGATCGTATTGCCACAACCACAATGATATAAAGTTATGGATTGAATTGAAATATATTTATTACAGCGATAGTATAATTCACTTTTGTTCATTTTTTTTATCTAATTATAAATTATTATCCATAATAAAATTATTGATGTTTGTAATAATTATTTTAAAAACATAGTTAAGATAATTTTTAATTAGTTAGAAATTTAATACATTTTGTAAAGTGTTACAAATTTTTTTATAATTATATTATTAATATAAAATATTTAGTTCTGCAATTTTGGTGTGTTAAGATGATAAACGCAAGATATATTGATTAAAAAAAAGTATGTAGGTATTTTATTAAAGAAAAATGTATTTAAATATTATCATATAAAAAAAGAGAAAAAAAAAGTAGAAGTGTGGGCCTTTAAAAAAATGTGGGGCCTGAAAACCCTAAGTTAAGATTATAGGCGGCCCCGTAAAAAACCTGTTGGCATATGAGGCTATTCAAGCTATCAATATCAACGTTATGTCTGAAATTGTCACCCAGTAACCATTTCTTTATTATTATTTGTATTTTCTTTTTTTTTTAAGGTGCCTAGTAACCATTTCATTATAAAAGTAAACTTGTTTTTGTCATTTATTAGTTTCAAATCAGTTAAGAAAATGTCGTTATTTAACTAATCCTATCTAAAATCTTCAACTTTTTTATGTGTCTCTTAACATGATCAATATGCGCTTCTCAACTGTAAAGTATTATATATACTTACTAGTTAAGTTATTCTTAAAATAAATAAATAAATAAATAAATATATATATATATATATTAAAGCAAATAATAACCTTTTCTTTCATGAATAAACCTTAAACATTTATATTTAATTATCTTGTTTATATCTGACGTGTTAAACTTTGACCTGTGATATCAAATATCAGATATATATT